ATCAGAGAAAATTTTAATAAATGAATTCACTATATTGTACGTGTATTATGAATAATAAGCTTGATCCATTTTCTAGGATAGCTAGGCTTTTTGTTAAAAAGCAATTACTGTATAGAAATTGTAGAACATCATAATTATTTAGCACTACGATTATTAGAAAAAAAAATCAAATGATATTATTCACTCTGTTGTTCATGTTTTAACAACAATGAGGAATAAAGTAGTTCCATTTTTAGGATCTAGTAATTTTTATAAAACAGTTTAGATATCTCCACTCATAACAGAATTTATAGGATTTCTACACAAAGCAATACCAAACTGTTGTTATTTATGACAAACAGTTGCAATAATCGGCTCCATCCGAGTCATAAAATACTATTGTCTTTTACCAAGCTCGAGCACGAAAGTTCAAGAATATAAAATGATTCAATTATATATATATATAATGAAGAATATCTCTACCTTGCTGAGGGACAAGCAGAATTGCAACAACAGGTCGGTCTCCGAGGCTCGATCCTTCGGGTCCATAGTCTTCGGGAGCAGGCCCTCGACGATCTTCTGGATCCTCCGCGATCTATATTGCTCCATCTTGTTCTGGAAGCAATAAACAGGTTCGTTGGCTCGTCGGTTGGTTCGATTAAATGCCTCCCGGCAGATAATGGAAATCGGTGATAGAATTTATCGAGCAAAACAGAGAAGCTGGAATAAAAACACGCTTCTCTTCCCACCCGTGAAGAATTTCTGGCGAGCTGCCAGCCGATCAACGGCGGGGAAGAATGCTTCTGAAAAAGTTGATTGATCGCTGAATCCAATCATCGATGCCAGAAACTGTGTATTACGGAATCGAGTTCGAAATCGTTAGTTAAATTGCATTTATCTGGGCATGAAATCATTTTCTATCGATACTCAATCGATATTTCATCGATCTCCGCTATGAATGCAGTCTCGAACGACGATAAATTATTTTATGAATTAACTTTATTCGTCAGGACAATCGTCATTGCACAATATCTTTCCTATTTTAATAATACAGAAAATTGAAAGAGACTCAAGTGTAAGTCAAGTCAAAGAGACTTTGCAAGTGTACTCAAATTGTAATTGTACTCAAATTGTAATTGCACTCAAATTGTAATTGCACTCAAATTGTAATTGTACTCAAATTGCAATTGTAGTAAAATTCTAATTGTAGTAAAATTCTAATTATAGCAAAATTGTAATTGCACTCAAATTGTAATTGTACTGAAATTGTAATGACGAATTACATTGTAATTTGATCGAATGAAGATCTGAATTCCGAATTACATTGTAATTTGATCAAATGAAGATCTGAATTCCGAATTACATTGTAATTTGATCGATCGAAGATTTGAATTCCTAATTACATTGTAATTTAATTGAACGAAAATTTAAATTATAAATTTACAGAGTGATCGAATTATAATGTAATCGAATTACTTTGTAATTATAATTCACTGGGTACAGTAAATTCTCTCCAATTGTCCCTTAACTTCTAAATAGAACTGGACAATTTGGGAAGGGGAGACGCGATTATTCGAGTCTCGCATCTAGTTTTTACAGTCGTTCACAATTCGCAATTATAAAAACGAACCGCAAGGCTCGAATAATCAAATCTCTTCTTCCCAAATTGTCCATTTTTTGTGGACAATCTGAGCGTCAATTAGGGAGACTGTACTACTTCAATTGTAATTCTACGCGACTCTGCTTACGTGCAATAATAAAAGATCCAGTATAAAAGTTCCAATTGAACGACAATGGAATCGGACCAAAAATCAAAGGTGTCACGAACTATATAATCAAGTAATTTTAAGACAGATCTACGAGAAACATCCATTCTACTCCCAAAGGTAGTCGCGTGAAGCGCCGGGAACGACAACTGCCTGGAAAACCGACGGAATTGATTTAGCCCCTCAGCGATAAGGCAACTATCTCCGGCCATTCGCGACGGAGGACGCGCCGAAGACCTATCATCGGCATACTTTCCGGCGTAACTTTTCTGCTCGAGGAGGGATGCTCGCCGCCGGGAATTTGCGGATGAACTACTCGAGACCCTGCCCCGTATGACTGCGGAGCGTGCTTTTTTCCCCGCTTCTCTCCTCGAGCGGAAGTTTCGTCCCGTGCGCCCTGGAGAACGGAAACAGAACTCGGTGAAATACAGCCTCGCGATGCCAACCCTTTCTTTTCCTCTCGCTGTTATTGTTTATTATTGTTCACATGAAAATGTAGCCTGTTGAATAACGATAGGTCGCATTGAACTTTCAGTTCTCTGTGCTCGTCCCTTTATTTCTCTTTTCCTTTATTTTTATGTTTCTCGTGTTTCTTTATAATTCTTTATAATTCTTTCCCTGTTTTCACTGTTGAGGTTCATTGGAAGAACAATATCAGACGAAACTGAATTGTGTGAATTATTTTAAGCGTCCCTTTATTTTTGCTTCTAATGTTTCTTTATTATTTAATGCGCTTTTCTTCCTCTCTCTCTCTCTCTCTCTCTCTCTCTCTCTCTCTCTCACCCTCTGTCTGCTATAAATGTCCATTTAACACGTTCCGTGCCACGTGTACCATCGATGGTACACGCTTGCATGTTTACTTAGTGAACTGAACAAATTGTTTACAAGAAATTTAGAACCGAAGAATCAATTTCCACCGCAAGAATGGGCGTTGATAAGTTTTTGTTACGTTGTTATGTGTACGAGAATTAATAATTGCACGTAATACATCAAGTTTTAGTAAAATATCAAAGTGTGAAGATTCGAGTAAAAAAAGCTCGGCACGGAACGTGTTAAAGACGCAGCTTGTTAAACAATGACCAGCAAAACCGAATTGAAAGAATTGCTTTTAGTATCGCTTTATTTTTGTTTCTAATGTTACTGTTTAATTCACTGTTCGGTTAAGAACGTAGCCTGTTAAACAACGACAGGCAAAACTAAATCGTGGGTACTGTTTTTAGTGTACCTTTAGTTTCGTTTCTCATTTTTCTTCATAATTTATTGTTTTCTTTTTTCCTATTTCCACTGTTGATGGCTATTTAGAAACGTAGCCTGTTGAACAATAACAAACAAAATTTAGTTCTATGAATTATTTTAAGTGTCCCACATTATTTTTCTTTCGAAATTTTCTTCCTTTCTGAATGTTCTTCTTTGTACCAAGAAAAACAATCGTTCATTTATGCAAGACTATAATCAATACAAGATGTGACAATTTTTTTGATATTGTATTTATATCGTACGACCAAACGGAAACTGTTATGATAAATTATTACAATGAAATCATGTTATAGTAACTGTTTTTGTAACTTCTTCCTTTTTTAACATTCTTTCTTGCGTCAAGAAAAATATATTTTATGCAAGAATTTATTTATGCTACCACGCTGTTTAATTTTGAAACGAGCGTTCCATTAAAAATATGAATTTCCAACCACTCTTTTTTGGGCCAGGAAACATGTCTCACACTGTTCAATTACACACACACAACAACGGTATTTTAAATAAAATACGTCAACATGAGAAACGTAGAGAGATCACGAGAAATGTGAACACGAGATAAATATTAAATTATAGTATATTAGAAAATGAAACTTGACACTGATTTATCATCACTATAAGGTAAATTCTCCCTAGAATGCCAAATTTCGGGTTGCTGTGAATTTCCCTGTGCTAGTCCTAAGTCTATGCGATTTATTGCTACGTCGTGTCGATACTAAGATTCGACGGAGTCGGTCAAACGTGTGATGCGGCACGTGAACAGAATTATTTGACTCGAATTCCCGAAAGACAACACAAAATGTTTTGTCAATCTGTTTCGTTGTGAGTCAGATAAGTAAAACCGCGGAGCTACAAGGTACATGACCAATTGCAACGACTGTTGTGGTCAAGTTCTCCGTCGAATCGAGGCATGTGGCCTTCGAATTTCCTTCGAAATGCCATCGAATCGTGACAAAAAATTATAAATAAAAGTCATTACAAATTAATATTATATAAATAAACATAATATTATACATAATATTATTATAAATTAAGTTATAGTTTATTATGTATTCATATTAATGTACACCGGCACACTGACCACTGCCTTTTTTATCGACTGCCTCGAGTTTTATTCTCTCTCTCTCTCTCTTTCTCTCTCTCTCTCTCTCTCTCTCTCTCTCTCTCTCACGAGGTATCGGCAACTATAAAAATGAGCCGCGGGACTCGAAGAATCGTGTCCGAGTGTCCGCCGAATACCGTTTTCAATTCCGAGCTCCGGGCCTTCTAGGGAGAATTTATTAACCATTCATTATTTTCGTTTTCTATACTGCTTCTCTTTCTCGAACCAGGAAAAATGTCTCCCACGCAACAATTCATTCATGCTGCGACAAAATTCAATTTCACCAAAGATGTCACTCAAAATATATCTTTTTTACCATTCCCGCTTGAGCCGGGAAAAATGTCGTTCATACAAGAATTTATCTACGGTGTCGCGCAAGAATTTTATTCAAAATATATCTTTTTGATGATGCCTTTCCGGGGCCATGAAAAATGTCTCCCGTTGAAAAATTCGCCAGCATCGGGAAAGCATCGGCGCCACGGAGCAAAGACGCCGCCGTCTGGACAGCGTCGATCTGAAGACTCTACGGGTGTCGATGAAGCGCGGGAACGTTCCGAGCATTGTTTCAATTTCCTGTTTCTTGGCGAGGCGCGGCGGCGGAGTCAATCAAGCTCGATGGAACGTGGAAACTCGGGGAATTGGGTCGCGATATTTTCGCGGAACCGGCAAGCGGGCAGAAGGACGATTGAACGTCGTCGAAACGACGAAGGTCGGAGGTTGGCGATGGAGGACTTCGGGCGAACACAAGGGGGGGGGGGGTCGTGGGTGGCTGGCTCGTACGCGATGACACGCCGGCGGAAGAGGAAATGGAGTCCGCCGCTTTGTGCTACGCTAACGACTTCGATAACGATGCCCATCGACTCTGGGTGCTCCTTTTAATTTGTCGAACCGTTAATAATGCCCATCGATGCCGGCCGCAGAAGATGGGAACCGCGGACTCGACCGCCACAGAGTCTCTTGTCATGTCGGAGACAACGGCGCTTCTTCTTGGAACGTTGCTTCGTTTCGACGTTGGTTATCACTGGACCGCGGATCTTTATGCAAAACAAAGATTGCTTGCCTCGATTGCAAGACGTACACTCCCGCCCAATGACTTTTGCCCAGATATCGTGAAAATTTTATAAAATCCAAAATTTTGTAACTCGCGTTCAAAATATCGTACAGAAATCTACAGGGCGTCATTTTCAAGGGTTTTTGATCATCTTTCGTGTGGCTCTTTTATTACGATATCTGTTAATTATTTCCTTTATAATTTAATCGAAGCTGAAACGACAAAAAAATTCATTTTGAACAGGTCCTTCTCAATCCCGCTTCATTTCTCGAAAAAGGTTTTTTTGAATAAATCTTACAATATGATTTGAAAGAGGTACTTTCAAGAGCTTCATTTTAATCACCGGAATATTATTCTACGATTAGTTTTAACAAAATTATGGCGATTTTAGTGGGAAATTTCACTTTTCACGAAAACAGTCATAGCTCGAAAACTTTGACTG